TTATGCAGGCAGGATGAAGGGAACTACAGGGAAGTAAATTCAGCATGGGGCACATCCATGGTGAGAGAACCAAAATTTCAAATGAAGAGTTTGTCTCTCGGTTCTCAGCTCAAGCCACTTTTCTCGGCGTTATTGAGAAGTTGCCGCAGAGACAAGAAACGGGCCAAGCAGAAATCACTCTATGGAATGGTTCTTGGTACTTAGGCTTGCAGACGTCTGAGGCTGCCTCTTGGTTTCTCTTTTTGACATCTTTCTTTTCTGGAAATGCTAACAGACCTTCTCCAGGATGGGAAAGATAGGGAAACAAATACTGGCTAAAAGGGAAAAAGACTCAGTCATTGCATCCTGTTTTCTGTTAGACCACAGTGCCTAGGTCTTTTGGAAAAAATTGCTCGAGACAAATTTATCACCTTGTTGTGCCTTGTCAAAGCACCTTCTAGGGTCAGCGGCGTCTGTGTGTGCTTTGCAAACAGTCTCCGCATAAGCTGGCTACTGTATTAGGTGCTGAGGATATAAAGACCCATGAGACACCTTCTCTTCCAGGAAGCCCAGTACAGGAGGATACAGGGAAGCCTGACCCATCCTCTTGAAAACCTATACCTGAGTGTCCCAGCTCAACGCTTAGCTGGAGAACTGTCAGCCCTTGAAATGGCCACCTCTTATCCTTCAGATGACAGCAGAAGGGTTGACTCAGAAGCACCATGCAAGTCATAAATGCGAGCCATGTATGTGGTTTAAGTTTTCTAATAGTCACAGTTTTTAAAAGTTATTTTTTAAAAAAGTGAAATGCTTTTGAATTATTTTTTAATTTATATCAATATATCCAAAAGCAGCATCATTTCAACAGCTAGTCAATAAAAATAAATGGTTCGTAATTTTTTTTTCATACTGACTCTTTGAAATCTCTGTATATTCTTCACATAGTACTGAATTTAGACCAGCAGCCTCTCAAGGGGCTACCATGCTGTTTAGCCCAGCTCTAGCGCTCTGCCTGGCCTCTCTCTCTCACTCTGGGGAGCTCAAAGCATTTGTTCAAACAAGAAGGTAATGCATGTAGAGACATGGATGGACCTAGAGTTTGCCATACAGAGTGAAGTCAGTCAGAAAGAGAAAAACAAATGTCGTGTATTCACACAAATATGTGGAATCTAGAAAAATGGTATATGTGTGTGCGTGTTAGTTGTTCACTCGTGACCAGCCCTTGGCAATCCCATTGGCTAGCCTGCCAGCCTCCTCTGTCCATGGCATTCTCCAGGCAAGAATACTGGAGTGGGTAGCCTTTCCCTTCTCCAGGAGATCTTCCCAACTCAGGGGTCAAACCTGGGTCTCCTGAAGTGCAGGTGTATTCTTTACCATCTGAGCCACCGGGGAAGCCAGAAAAATGGTATAGATGATCTTATTTACAAAGCAGAAACGGAGACACAGACATAGAGAGCAAATATGTGGATACCAAGGGGGACAGGGAGGGTGGGAGAAACTGGGAGATTGGGACTGACATATATATATATATACTATATATATACTATATATATATACCTTTGCTTTGGTATAGTATATAGTATATATATATACTATTGATACTCTGTATAAAACAGACAAATAACGAGATCATATTGTGTAGCTCAGGACCTCCACTCACTGCTCCGTGGTGACTGGAATGGGATGCAACTCCAAAAGGGAGAGGATAAGTGCATACATATGTCTGATTCATTTTTCTATACAGTAGCAACTAACGACTTTGTAAAGCAACTAAACGCTATACACCAATAAAAATTAAGTTAAAAAGAACAGGTAATGCATTAGTCTCCTGTCGCTGCTGTAACAAATTGCCATAAATTTAGTGGCTTAGCACAAATTTCGCCCTGTCACAGGTCTGTAGATCAGAAGTCTGACTTCGGTTTCACGAGGCTGAAATCAAAGCGTCATCAGGGCTGCGTTTCTTCTAGAAGCTCTGAGGGGGAGCCCACTTCTCTGCCTTTTCCAGCTTCTGGAGATAGCCTGCACCCGTTGGCCCTTGACATCTTCCTTCACCTTCAAAAGCCAGTCATGCCCTGCCTCTCAGTCCTCCTCTCTAACCACATCTTCCCCCAACAGCAGCCACGAAAGAGTCTTCTAATTCAAGAAGGTTAAATTGGCCTACTCGGATATTCCAAGATACTGTCTCCATCTCAACTTCACTACATTTGCAAAAGTCCCTTTGGCCATATGAGGTACCATAGTCACAGTTTCTGGGGAGAAGGACTTGAACTTGAGGGGCCACTACTCTATTTACCAGTTTTGTTACCCCTTATTACAGAGAAGAGTAAACATTTAAAGTTGAGGACTGGGACTTCCCTGGTAGTCCAGTCGTTAAGACTTTGCCGTCCAAAGCAAAGGTTGTGAGTTCTATCCCTGGTGGGGAACATAAGATCCCACATGTGGCAAAAAAAAAAAAACAAAACCCAAACATAAAACAGGAGCAATATTTTAACAAATTCAATAAAGTCTTTTAAAAATGGCCCACATTAAATAATCTTAAATAAATATAGTTTCTTTTAAAAAAAAGACAGCCTTGATTAAAAATTAATTAACTGATTAAATAGAACTGAGGACTTAGGAGACAGTCCTTCCTTTTGTTCCCAAGCTCATTTAGATTTCTGCTCTTGGAAAAGAAAGAGAACTACTTTCATGAAGTTCTACCTATATCTCAGGATGAGTCTTTTCTCTCACAGGCCACTGGCTATTCACTCAGAAAACATCTGAAGGTTTTCTAGATACCAGACACAAGCCAATCCTACAAAATAATCACAACCAAAGGAAAATCATGACACTGGGTGATCATTCTTCTTCAACGTTAAGAATTTTTATATTATTCATAGTATTTTATTTTAAAATCTGCTTACAATATTGGAAGTGCACTAGAAACATGATTCTTCTTGAAAATAATGTTACTAATTTTCCAAAACCTGTAGGTGTGTCTCCTATAGAATATTTTCAACTCTTTAAATAATCATAAATCACTAATGAAAAGAAATAACCAAGGAAAATTCCAAACGAAGAACAATAACTTTTTAAAAAATCCCTTTATCAGAATAATCAGAATCATTAATACATAGAGTCAGAGGTCAAGGTGTAAATATAAGCAAAGACCAATGCATCCAATATTTTCATAGGAAAATGGTTTTTTTAAAGACAATATTGTGAAGCAATTGTTTTTATCCACATATATAAATGTATCTTTTGACTCTAAGTTATTACTTGCAACAGCTTTCTGCCAAGGAAGCATGTTGTCTGTTACCTAGCTAATGACCTCAGCACCTTTGGGAATAATTATAAAACCAAAACTGGTCAGGGCAGGAACAAACACCAGATCACAAAGTCCAACCCCCTCACTTTACAAAATAGGAAACAGGCCACACTGGGAGATCTAGTTACTTGCTCAAAGTCCACTAGTGGCTCAATTGAAGCCAAAACCTCAGGCTCCAAACCCCCAGGACACTGCTTTTCCTTCTGGCCTATTTGGGAGAGGCAGATCTCTCTATCCATCCCTCCATCCATCCATCCAACCATTCATCCATCCATCCATCTATTCATTCATCCTTCCATTCATCCATCCATCTATCCATCCATCCATCCATTCAACCATCCATCCATCCATCCATCCATCCATCCATCCATCCATCCATCTATTCATTCATCCCTCCATCTATTCATTCATCCTTCCATTCATCGATCCATCTATCAATCCATCTATCCATCCATCCATCCACCCTTTCATTCAAGAAACATTTGCTGAGTGCCCACCACGTGCCAGACACTGTTCTAGCATTGAGGCCACAACAGAGATGAAAACCAGCCAAGCTGCAGTGCTTAGGGAGCTTCCACTCTAGGTAATGAAGAGAATACAAATACATACTTATCTCAGGTGGAAAAGAGGCTAAGAAGGAAAATAAAGCAACGTCAGGGGATAAAGAGAGGCCCCCCTGGTGGCTCTGTGGTAAAGAACCTGCCTGCCAATGCAGGAGACCCAGGTTTGATCCCTGGGTCAGGAAGATCCCCTGGAGCAGGAAATGGCAACCCACTCCAGTCTTCTTGCCTGGGAAATCCCACGAACAGAGGAGCCCAGTGGGCTAGAGTCCACGGGGTCACAAAAGAGCCGGACATGACTTGGCAACTAAACAACAAGGGGATAAAGAGTGATGGAAGGTGGCTGCTGTTTCCCAGGCAAGCTCAGGGACAACCATACTCAAGGTGACACTCAGCGGAGAATAAATTTGAATTACAATTTACAGTACACTCAGAATTAAAAGCTGATCATAAATGGCAGGGACATAATGAAGCGCTAATGGGAAATTCCAGAGAAATTTTAGCAAAGCTCCTGAGGAGTGACTGAGGATGCATGTGGAGGGGAGGCAGGCGGAACACATAAGATTAAGAAGGAAGGAGGTGGCTTGGACCCCCGAGGAATGCTGGTGGTGACGGGCTGCTCCCCGGGGCTTGCCCGTGATTGCACAAGGAATGGCACGTCCCTGTCCTGTGTGCCCGGCACTGTCTGGGGCGGGGGGCTGGCCATGATGGCAGGTGCCATGGTCACAGGGCAGCAGTTCGGCCCCCTGAAACTGACGCATGAGCCTGAACAGGAGCCTGAAACGCTGGGGAGAGGGATGGAAGAGGGGAAGTCAGCAAGAAAAGGCCCTAAGGTTCAGGCTGGAGCAGGAGCCAGGTCCTTTGAAATAAAGAATGCCCGCAAGTGACCGAGATATGGTTCAAGCCGGGGGGAGCTGTGCCTCAGGATGCATCTCAGGGGTCGCAAAGAGTCGGACACGACTTAGTGACTGAACAACAAGGCATCGTGCAAAGCTGTGTTAATTCTTGGGCTTTTTGTCAAGCCGTAGGCTGGGCTGCTGTACCACCTAGCGGCTCCAAGCGAGACTGCAGCCTTAGCACAGCGGCCTCCCCGATGTTTCAGCTGGGTTCTGCGGCCCCTTCCCAAAGACGGCCTCTTGTCGTAACAAAGTGCCCTATGCCCCGGGCTGGCTATGGGGTTTCCCTGCTGTGAACCCCGTGGGAGAGGCTGCAAGGATACCTGCAGGAGGGCAGGGCCTCCAGCCCGCCTGTTCTGTGACGGGTCCAGCCTGGCAGGGGCGTGCAGAGTACCACTGTGGAGAGCAAGCTGCCAAAATGACCACCTCGGCCCGGAGCTCGGGCTTCTCCGGTTCCTGGATCACGAGGCAGCTTCCCGGGAGATCAGCATTTCCCCACTCCTGGCTGAGGACACACTCGGCCAGGGCGCTGAGCCCTTCTTCAACATCCCCTGGCTAGATGGTGTCCTTTCACCCGGCACTGCTGCCTGTTGACGGGGCTAGCTCTGGCTTAAAGCCTTCCTGCGTCCTTCCCTCCGGACCCCACCGCCCTCCGTCCCCTCCCGTAGACCCAGTCCCTTTGCAGGGCCACGGGCACTTCTTGCTACAACCTCAGAGTAAGAGCGGGCAGGGCTTCCCGGGAGGCACGGTGCAGGAGACACAGGTTCCATCCCTGGGTCAGGAAGATCCCCTGCAGGAGGCAATACCACTCCAGGATTCTTGCCTGGAGAATCCCATGCACAGAGGAGCCTGGGTGGGCTACAGTCCACGCTCAGTCCCTCAGACGTCCGACTATTTGTGACCCCGTGGACTGTAGCCCGAGAATACTGGACTGGGTTGCCATTGCCTCCTCCAGGGGATCTTCCTGACCCACGGATGGAACCCGCGTCTTCTGCCTCTCCTGCACTGCAGGCGGCCACGAGGTGGTAAAAGAGTCGGACACAACTTAGTGGCTAAACAAGAGTGGGTAAACCCAGCTTGTGTCAGCAGCTGGAGTGGAGTCCAGATGTGGGAATACAGACCAGGAAATGCAAGACAGATGTGGAGATAAGACAGCCATGGCTTCTCTTCCCTCCTCTCCATAGACAGCAGTCTCCTCCCTCACTGCCACCTACCCCAACTCTAAAAGGCTGACAAGCAGAAATCCTTGGTAATCTGTACCTTTTCAGGGCACAGTTTGGGAAACAGAGATGTTTTCAGCTTTTTCCCCTTAATCTTCAGTTGTGCTTAAAAACTGAATCTCTCTTCAAAGTTGTTTTTAGAAATATTTGAGAAAACACCTAATTAATATGCCCTGCAACCTCTTTGAACAAATTCTGTTGAGTAATCTGTTTTGAATGAATATTTTGGGTGTGAAATTTTACAGCGTGATATAAAGCATGTGTATAATTTGAAGAAAAATAATAAAGTGAACATCCAGGGATCTACCTCTCATAAACAGAACATCACTGGTACCTTAGAACACTATTACATTCTCTCCCTATCCATGTCCCATCTCCACGGTAATTCACTATCCTAAGTTTTGTTATTAATTACTCCCTTACAGGTTTACACACATGTACACATATTTGACTATTAAGTGGCTGTATGGGACTTCCCTGATAGCCCAGCGGTTAAGAATCTGCCTGCCAATGCAGCGAACACGTGTTCAGTCCCTGGTCTGGAATATTCCACATGTCGCGGAGCAACTAAGCCCTTGCACAAATACTGAGTCCAAGAGCCCTAGAGCCGCGCTCCAGAGAGGCCGCCGCAGCGAGAAACCCATGCACCTCGACAAGAGGGTAGCCTCCACTCACCACAAACAGAGAAAGCCTACGTGCAGCGATGAAGACCCAGCACTGCCGCAAGTACAGTAAAATTTTTTTAATGAATGCATGGTATATATACATATCTGTGTGCACGCATGCTCAGTTGCCATGTCGGACGCTTTGTGACAGGCTCCTCTGTCCATGGGATTTCCCACGCAAAAATACTGGAGTGGGTTGCCATTTCCTCCTCCAGGGGATCTTCCCGATCCAGGGATCAAACCCGCATGTCCTACGCCTCCTGCATTGGCAGGCAGGTTCTTTACCACTGAGCCACCTGGGAAGCCCACACATGCATGTGTAGATGTATATATTACAACATAATTCAGTCATCATAGAGGATTGATTCCACAACTCCCTTGTATGCCAAAATCTACAGATGCTGACATCCCTTATATAAAGTAGTGTAGCCTAATATTTTGGCAACCCACTCTAGTGTTCTTGCCTGGAGAATCCCAGGGACAGGGGAGCCTGGTGGGCTGCCGTCTATGGGGTCGCACAAAGTCGGACACAACTGAAGCGACTTAGCAGCAGCAGCAGCCTAATATTTGCACTTAACCTACACACATCCTCCTGTATACTTTAAATCAACTCTAGATCACTTATAATACCTAATACAATGTAAATACAAAGCAAATTGTTGTAAACATAATGTAAATACTATGTAAATAGTTGGAGACATGCAGCAAATTTAAGTTTTGCTTTTTGGAACTTTTTGGGTTTTTAAAAAGTTATTTTCAATCTGCAGTTGGTTGGAATCCAGGGGCACGCAACCCACAGATACAGAGGGTCAACTGAACATAGTTTTGCCTGTTTTTGAACTTTATGTAGATGGACTCACTCATATTCTTCTGTGACTTACTTCTTTGGCTGTTTTTGCAGCGGTCTATTGAAGCATGTATCTGTCATCTTTCTTTACCACTGTGGACTATTCCATTGGATGAACATATCATAACTTATACTATTGATAAACACTGTACACATCTCCTGGTCTTCATAAGCAAGATTTTCTCAAGAACTTCCATCTAAGGGTAGATGTGTCACAGGGCACACACAAGTCCACCTTAACTAAGTAATCATCCTTTTCCAAAGCAGTTGTCCTCATTTCACAGATCAGTTTGCCCTGCAAACAGACCAGGATGTTCCTGGAAGGAAGCTTACTGGGAGGGTGCTCTCAGGAACAACTGTGAGGGATGAGGGAAGCAAGATTTAGATCTACCATCTTATTTTGTGCTTTTCACTTTTTGCCCCAGTTGTTTTTCTATTTTTTCTTGGCTTCTTTTTTTCTCCACTAGTTTTAAATATATATAAAATTTATATTCTTTTACTGGTAATCCTAGAAATTTATTTTAGCTTGCTGCTTGAATAATCTGGAAAAGTAGACAAGTATGTGTAAGCTCTTCCTGGGAAATCTAATATGTATATTGTTTTTACTGAAGAATTGTTAGGTTTTTTTTAAACTGTGAGTGGTTCATCCATCATTTCTAGAAAATTCCCAACAACATCTTTTCAGCTATTGATCCTGTTCATGCCCTTTTACTAGTTCTCCTTTCCCTCAAGGTCACTTAACTTTAATATATCACATCTTTGTCTTTCTACATTGCATTCTGGACAATTTTTTTCAATTCAATATTCTACACCATGACTAATCTGCTATTAAACTCTTAACACTGAGTTTTTCGGCTCCATTATTTTTTTAATTTTAGAAGTTTTTACTTGTTTTTTTAAAACTGTTTCCTTGCTTTCTGCTGTTTTTAATTCAATTTCCTGATATATAATAATTTTTATCACAAAAAATTCATCCTTTCAAATATAAAATTCAGTTATCTTTATTCAGAGTTGTACAACCACTTGTTATGATTTTTCAGTTGCTAAGACATGTCGGACTTTCAGTTGCTAAGTCGCAAAAGTCCATCTCTTTGCAACCCCGTGGACTGCAGCACACCAGGCTTCCCTGTCCTTCACTATCTCCTGAGTTTTCACGAACTCATGTCCATCGAGTTGGTGATGCTATCCAACCATCTCATCCTTTGTCGTCCCCTTCTCCTCCTGCCTTCAATCTTTCCCAGCATCACTGTCTTTTCAAATGAGTTGGCTCTTCACATCAGGGGTCCAAAGCATTGGAGCTTCAGCTTCAGCATCAGTCCTTCCAGTGAACATTGATGGTTGATGTCTTCAACCACTACCTCTCTATAAATTCCAGAACATTTTCATCACCCAAAAGAAACCCTGCACCCATTAACAGTTATTCTCCGTTCCCTTCTTTCTCCAGACCCTGGAAACAATTAACTGTCACTATGGATTTGCTTATTCTGGACATTAGATATAAACTGCATCACACAACATGTGACCACTTGTGTCTGCCTTCTCACACTTAGCATAGCATTTTCAAGGTTCATCCATGTTGTAGTGTGTATTGCTACTTCATTCCTTTTAATGACTGGATAATATTTTATGGATAAACATTTTATCTATTCATCAACTGATTGACAGTTAAGGTGTTTCTACTTTGGGACTGTTATGAATAGTTCTATAAATATTCATGCACAAGTTTTTGTAGAAATCTGTATTTTCATTTCCCTTGAGAATCTCCTTAGGAATAGAATTGTTGAATTATATAACTTTGACTTTTTGAGGAACTGCTCACATGAGAGTTAGCCTGTCAAGTCTCATGAAAGATTTTTAACTTGAGTCACTGCCAAAGTTCTAAAGAAGTTTTCTTCCAATCCTCAGGGTGGGAGAGTTGTTCTCCCAACCCCAACTTCACTTTTATACTATGGGTGTAGTCATCTGGTCTTCACTTTGGTCATGCCCAAAAGTTTGGTGTGATGGTTAAGGAAAAACGCTTCAGTTTGGCTACGCCACAGGGCCAGATACTTGGTCAAACACATCTAGAATGCAGGTATATTTACCTGAAAAGGAATTCTTTTTAATGAGATGAAGATTCAAATCAGTAGATTTTGAGTAAAGCAGATGACACTGCATTGTGTGGGTGGGCCTCAGCCAGCCAGCTGAAGATCTTATGAGAAAACAAACTGAAGTCCCCTCCCTCTAAAAGAGGGAATTCTTCCAGCAGACTGCCTCTGGATGAGCTACATAAACTCTTCCCTCAGTTTCCAGCCTGCTGNAGGCCAATATCACTGATGAACATAGATGCAAAAATCCTTAACAAAATTCTAGCAAACAGAATCCAACAACATATTAAAAAGATCAAACATCATGACCAAGTGGGCTTTATCCCAGGGATGCAAGTATTCTTCAATATCTACAAATCAATCAATGTGATACACCACATTAACAAAGTGAAGTAAGCCAGAAAGAAAAACACCAATACAGTATACTAACGCATATATATGGAATTTAGAAAGATGGTAATGATAACCTTGTATGCGAGACAGCAAAAGAGACACAGATATATTGAAGAGTCTTTTGGACTCTGTGGGAGAGGTGAGGGCGGGATGATATGGGAGAATGGCACTGAAATATGTAAATTATCATATGTGAAACGAATCGCCAGTCCAGGTTCGATGCATGAGACAGGGTGCTTGGGGTTGGTGCAGTGGGATGACCCAGAGAGATGGGATGGGGAGGGTGGTGGGACGGTGTTTCAGGATACAGAACACATGTACACCCGTGGCGGATTCATGTCAGTGTATGGCAAAACCACTACAATATTGTAAAGTAACTGGCCTTCAATTAAAATAAATAAATTTATTTTAAAAAATACAAATATAAGAACATAAAAAAAATGTTTAAGAAGTAATTAGATACAAACCACTGTTGGTGGGGGTGTGGAGCAATTAGGCCTCTCATACACTGCTGGTAGGAATATAAAATGGTGCAGCAACTTTGGTAAACAATCTAACAGTTCTTCAAAATGTTAAACAGAATTGACCTAGCAATTTCATACCCAGGTCCATGGAAAAGAGAAAAGAAAATAATGTTCACACAAAAGCTTGTACATAAAAGGTGAAGTGAAGTGAAAATCGCTCCGTCGTGTCCGACTCTTTGTGACCCCATGGACTATGCAGTCCATGGAATTCTCCAGGCCAGAATACTGGAGTGGGTAGCCTTTCCCTTTTCTAGGGGATCTTCCCAACCCAGGGATCGAACCCAGGTCTCCTGCATTGCAGGTGGCTTCTTCTACCAGCTGAGCCACAAGGGAAGCCCACACAAAAGGTAGAGACAACTCAAATGTCTATCAGGCGATGAATGGGTAAATAAAATGTGGAATATCCATACTATGGAGTATTATTAGGCCATAACCAATGTGAAGACAACAGAAATTCTGCAGGGAGGCAAAAACAGTGAAAGAAAGCTAAATGCTCATCTTCTATCGTGGGAAGCAGCAATATAAGTATATTGGGAGATACGGAGGTAAATAATGAAATAAGTAGCTAAAAAAGCAGAAAGTAGTTGCCTCTGAGGAGTGGCAAATATGTTGGTATACATATACGTATATTTTGGGGAGGGTCAAACTGCACTTTTATATATATATATAAAAGCCTCCCTCAGATGGCAAAGAATCTTCCTGCAACGCAGGAGATCCAGGTTTGACCCCTGGGTCGGGAAGATCCCCTGGAGAAGGGAATGGCTACCCACTCCAGTATTCTTGCCTGGAGAATCCCATGGACAGAGGAGTCTGCTGGGCTATAGTCTATAAGGTTGCAGAGTCAGACACGACTGAGTGACTAACACACAGGCACACACACACACATATATATAACTTACTGAAAGCAGAAAATGAATTTATAAATAAGGAATATCCCAGTATCTTCCACAGAGACTTTATCCAATACTTGAACAATTACTATACCTGGAAAAAGGCGCATTCTGAATACTTCTTCCAAATTGCCTCTGACCTGGGCTTATTCTGACAATACTTGGCATACATTTGAAAATCATCTTTCTGTGATAAAAAGAAAATGCAAATGTATTAGCGATTTGTAAATATGTCCTTTTCTTATCAAGAAAGGCTGAGCAAGAGTGATTGTGGCCAAGCATCACAGGGAATGTGGCCTAAAGGGCCAGGTCAGAAGCCTTCTTTATATGCCAAGACCAGCATGCCCAGCAAACTGGGGAGAGGGACACATAATTATCCAAGTAATTTCATAACTTCCACTTACCAAGTTTGAGAGTTAGAGGGAAAAAAGCCTTCTCTGAATGAACTAAGAAAACAGACTACTTTTTTGATTACGACAAGCTAACTGGGTACCAAGAGATACACTCTTTGTTTGCTCTCAGTCACTCCGTTCCTTAGTGAATGACTTATAGTAACTCCCGAGGTCCTTGGGTCCTCATTGGACCATCATCATTGTATCAGAACCCTGTGCGGTATCTGCTCACCCTCTTCTCTCTCCCTGTTCATTCGACCTTCATCTAATGGGATACCTCCTACTCAGTCATTAACACTCATCTCACAAGTCATCTCTTCTATACAGCCATCATTTATACCTCCAGTCAGTATCAGATGCACCTCTTCTTGGCTCCTATGGGACCCTTCATATAACTTTAATACAGCACAACTGACACTGTACACAGTGGAATCCTTCTTTTCCTATGTGAATAGTCTTGGTATTCCACATTGCCTAGTTCAGTGCTTGGTTCAAACTAGGTACTGAATAGTTGATGACTACTGAATGAATGAACAGATCAATAGGCATTTATTAAACTACTGGTTGCCAAGAACTCTGCTGACCTTACTAGAGATACAAAATCAGTTTTCTATCTAGTTGGAGAAAGAATTCATGAAATTCATGTGTAAACATGCGTAGTACATGTAAAATTCCCAATGAGTAGCACAGACATTAAGTACCATATAAGTTCAAAGGCAAGAGGAGCTGCTGCTGCTTAGGGAATTAGGGAAGAATCTGGCCATGGTTTCAGTTCAGTTCAGTTCAGTCACTCAGTTGTGTCCGACTCTTTGCGACCCTATTAATTGCAGCACACCAGGCCTCCCTGTCCATCACCAACTCCCGGAGTTTACTCAAACTCATGTCCATTGAGTCGGTGATGCCATCCAACCATCTCATCCTCTGTCATCCCCTTCTCTTCCTGCCTTCAATCTTTCCCAGCATCAGGGTCTTTTCAAATGAGTCAGCTCTTCGTATCAGGTGGCCATGGTTTAAATGTCTTTAAATGTTAGGATATGTTGAGAAAGGTCCTGCCTTATCCTTATTATCTTCTCACTCCATAAATGCTTCCTGAGATAAGATATCTCCTTGGAGGCTTTCAGTGATCACCTCTATCAAACTGACTCTCAAGTCAAAACAGAACTGATCTTTCAGGAAGTGCAGGAACTAGATAAGCAGAGAACATTGAGAGAGAAAACTCTAATGGAGGAGAGTGTGATTACAGAGCCTGGGAAGTCAGTTATACTAAGCACACCCGTGGGACACAGAGACATGAGCCTCTTGAAAGATATTGTAGAATAAAAAGAACACACAGCTCCCTGTTTTGCAAAGTTCCTGTGATAGATGCCTCGGTGTCTGAAAGCCAGCCTATAGTTGATTTGAAGACTTCACATGTACTAGAGGGGAATAGCAGGGCATCTCTCAGGCTAAAAATTAACCAAGCCAAGAATGGTGTGCCGTGATGATTCCAACTCTTGCACCTTCACAGCCAGGATGGTCCCTGGACTCCTGGGATCACCCAGGGGTCAGAGGTCACAAGCTGAGCCACTATAGCATTCGATGCCACAGAATACAATAGCCATTTGCATGCTCCAATACCCCATTCCTGTAACAAAACTTGATTTAGCATTAAATACTTGCTGGAGTGATGTGTCGCCTGCAAAAATAAAAGGACATCAAAAATAATGCCTACCTTATCTCCAAATCTGGAAAATGACATGCTATGTTGGTGGCCTATATATTTATATATTTTGAAATAATCATTGAACTAACCCTTTCCAGGAAACAAGGTCCCACTCTTTCTGGAGCATCAACACAATTTTCCAGACTGCTCATGAAAATGCTGTTAAAAATTTCAAAGAAAAAACACAATTTTATGTGAAATATGCTACATTGGTCAACAACCTTTTAAATAATAATCACAAAAAAGAAAATTCAATTCAGCAATTACATACTTGTTATGGAATTCATATATTTCTGCCATGTTTCCGAAGAGAACATCCCTTTTACTTCTCAGGAGAGGTGGCATAAGAACAAACATCTCTGGATTATCCATCTCCGCTCTATAGCCCTACCCAAAATAAAAACATTTATTCATTTAAAAAATAGTCACATCAACATTCAATTGGGCCACCAAAGATACAAGTACAGCAGAATGTGTATAGGATTAGAGGGTAAAGTTGTTTGTAATATTAATAAGTTGTAGTTCCCCCAAGTTATCCACTATTATTATTATTATTTTAAATAGAAGGACAAGGAAGTCCAGGTTTTCTACTCAATGGGTAGAAGAAAGGGACAACTTTTTGGCCTTCAGGGTAGCTAACAGGAAACAAAATAGAAACCAGGTATGAAAGATGATATTACAGGTTATTAACTTCTCCCTAGGGAATAAGTGTTTGAGTTTTGCCAGACCAAATTAATATTACTGATATGACATTTGTAACAAGTGAATGCTTTTCTCCCATACTCAGGGCTTTATATCATGATCTCTAAATAGCACCCGGGGAATAATTATAACAATCCACTGTATTCCTAACAGAACAGCTTATCTCTTCTGTAATGAATTCTGAAGCCACAATCCTCACTGCAGAGGGAGAACCAGAATGCACACATTTAACAAACAATCAAGGAAGGAGACAAAAAGAGAAGTCTGCCCAAAGCACTTCCTAATGAATTCCAGAAAAAGAACACATTTGAATCAGTTCTAATGAGGTGGATGAAACTGGAGCCTATTATACAGAGTGAATGAAGTAAGTCAAAAAGAAAAACACCAATACAGTACACTAACGCATATATATGGAATTTAGAAAGATGGTAATGATGACCCTGTATGCAAGACAGCAAAAGAGACACAGATGTAAAGAACAGTCTTTTGGACTGTGGGAGAAGGCGAGGGTGGGATGATTTGAGGGAATGGCACTGAAGCATGTATATTATCATGTATGAAATAGATCGTCAGTCCAGGTTCGATGCATGAGATAGGGTGCTCCGGGCTGGTGCACTGGGATGACCCCGAGAGATGGGATGGGGAGGGAGGTGGGAGGGGGGCATTCATGATGGGGAACACATGTACATCCATGGCTGATTCATGTCAATGAGTGGCAAAACCACTACAATATTGTAAAGTAATTAGCCTCCAATTAAAATAAATAAATTAATTTTTTTAAAAGACAGGAAAATACAATCTGAGTCACTTACCAACAAAACAGTAAACAGTTCCCTAACATATGCCCTCTCAGTCTGTATCAGCTCATTTAGGACGTGGCTAAAATGAAAGGACCATATTTGTCAGTTATTTTATGACTTTAGAATTGTATTGAAACATTTCATTTATTATCATGATAAATTGTCTAAGATGAAAATTAGCAGGGCAGAGGAACTACCCATGGTTTGGTTTTATCATCAAAATATAAAATTAATTCTATGGTTTCTAGAATAAGTACTACCCACAAGACCTTTAAAATGTATTAAAAAAAACAAAGAGGAGTGGGGCTCAGGAGTCATTTTTAAATGAGAACAAAAAAACAAAACTAATTTTATTTCCAGCTCACTAAACTTAAGAATCATTTACTAAAAACTCACAAAATCTATTCCTAAATACCTGGGGAATACTTTCTTGGACAGCACAATTTCTGTGCTATTGCTCTCCCTCTCTCTCTCTCTCTCAGAAAAAAATCATATTAGCATTTTAAACAAAATTTTTCCTTTTTCCTCAGTAATGTTCTGAAGTTTTCCAAGACATAATATGAATTTATAATACTGATTTTCCCAAATATAGATCATACTTACCTTTCTGTAGTAACTTTGTTTACTGTCTCTTTAAAATAAAACAAAATACACTTCCCTTCCAATGTGATTTCCAATTGACATTGTATTTAAAATTTATTTCCTCACTCCTCAATGTTATCCATTTAATTTAACTTCTTTTTCCTTTTTTTTTTTTTTTTGGTGTTTTGGCCGCACCACACAGCATGCAGGATCTTCATTCCCTGACTAGGGATTGAAGTCTTACCCGCTGCAGTGGAAGCCTAGAATCTTAACTTCTGGACCACCAGGGAAGTCCCTAACTTTTATCCTTGGCCTCTTTTTAATTTAATTTTTATACTTTTATAAACTTAACTAACATTTAACTATCTTTGTATATAACTATGTTTCAAACTATTTGTTACTTGCTCCAAACTACTGGTTACTTACTCAAAACTCTGTGATATAAAATTTAAAAGGTGACTATTCATATGTGTGGAATGTTGACATAATAATATAAAAGTGAATGAAACAATTTTTATTAGTACCTATAAAATCACATTGTATATCTACATAATCTTCTGTAGTTTTTGAAACACTGACCCATTCATTCTCACCTCTTTCATAAAAGAGGAGACTCGGAATCTGAAAAGATCTAGTTAATTTTCAAGTCACATAAACACAGTATAGGTTGGCCAGGACTTCTGACACCTTCTCTAGTGCACATTTGATCACACCCAGAAGAACCATATTCTGAGAACTCAATATTCTAAGTACATCTGCTTTGAACACTGAATCAGAGCCTCCTACTGGTAGATGTGTATATGGGTATATGTTAATAAATAAAAGATACTTCTTTAAAATATCCAAGCTATTGTCGTTGTCCAAACTGGAGGACTGAACAGAACTTCTCTTCTCCTGACAATCATATACTTCTTCAGTCTGAAATGAGAAGAAAAGTGAAATTAGCATCTATGTAGGTATAGTTCTTCTTCATGGAAATGTATCCCAAATTAAGTTTTCTTCTTTCTACGTTCTAACTATATAGATAAACTAAAAAGTAACACTATGATTACGATTTTTCTCAGAAATAACTTTGATATATACTAGTTAAAAATTATTTTAGTTGCCTAAGAGGACAGATTTAAGATATTCATTACAATTTACTTTATATGTTAAGTAATGTTTCATTTCAGTAGCACTTCGGGGAAATGAGGTTAGTTCATAAAAAGTTGATTGTCCTGGGACTTCCCTTATGGGTCAGCAGTTAAGACTCTGCGCTTCCACTGCAGAGGGCATGGGTTCCATCCTTGGTTGGGGAACTAAGATCTGGACCCAAAGGGAAAAAAAAAAGTTGACTGCCAGATAACTAAAGTTTATTTACTGAAGAAACAACCTGGCCTTTTAACCTTACTGATTTTTGATGGAAACCTGGATAGCAAATATTACATGAATCCTTGAATTCTTTAAGCAAGGACACACTATATCAGACCCTTTTCCTAATCACTCAGTGGCATCATCATGAACATGAATGAGATGATAAAACCTAATGCACATTCAGGGCCCTGGACATTCAGGGCCAATAAGATGTGCAGAACTGTCTATTGTGTCTTGAAATGGCTGTGTCTTGTTCATCTTTCTCTGCTCTCTGTCATGTGTCAGAGACTTCCCCACCTTATTTTGCAGACTCAACAGGACCCGGACTGCCCCACTGAGGACTGTGATGGCTATCTGCTCTTCGAAACTATATTCCGGGGTCTTGGCCATACTGGCCAGCTGAGCTTGCAGAAAACCTAACCAAGTAAATGCAGCATTACTTCATAACAACAACCAAAAATGAAGTACAGAGTCTATCAGCTGAACAGCACCTCCACACAATATGACCTACTTATTACTGAGACATGTGGAAAGGAGCAAACATTCATTGACTGACTTCTATTGTATATATCGAGCAGGCACTGTCCTAGGTGCTTAACACACCATCATCATATCTAATCCTCACATCAATTTAGCAAGTGATGGCGCACTGATCCCCAATCCCCATATCCATCTTACAGATGGGAAAACGAGTTTCAGAGAGCTTTCACAAAGGGCCAAGGTCACCTAGTAAGTGATAAAACTGCCAAACCCATGGTCAGCCACCATTATTACATTCCCTCATTTTTTGGATTTTTTTTTGTGGACCATTTTTTAAGGTCTTTCCTGAATTTGTTACAATATTGCTTCTGTCTTATGCTTTTTTTTTTTTTTTTTGGCTGTGAGGCATGTGGGATCCTGGATCCCTAACCAGGGATCAAACCCACACTCCCTGCACTGGAAGCACAGCCTTAACCACTGGACCACCAGGGAAGTCCCTCATATTCCCTCTTTAAAAGTGTACTTTGATTTCTGTATGCTCCATCTACCAAGTGTTATCATTTTAACTACTATAATTATAGTAGAAAGACTGAAAATACTGCATACTGCACTTCTCAGATAGGTATGTGCCATCCGCTCCTAACAGGGTTCTGAAATACAAGGCTGAAAAATTTTGAACCATCAAATTTTAAATGCCTAAGGATTGTGCAAATTGACTTGACTTGGAAGTATATGTGCATTTGGGAACTGGATTGACTAGCTAGATATCTCACCAAGGAAATGTACAGAATCACAGCCTTCTATTTTTATCCTTGGGATATGCAAATGAATAAATCCACATAGCTATTAAGGTGGGCATGACTTGAAATCAGAACCAAAAGACATGGCAGACTAAGGAATTTGGCATTCAGCCTGTTTTCTTCTTGAAACCAGAAACTCTGGCTGTAGAACATGATAACCAGGCATGGTGTGTCAGTATGGGTCATTTGCTAGCCTGCTAACAACTACATAAAACACTTAGAGCATTACCATGCACCACACAATACTCAAAGTACTTCATAAATACTAGATTATTTTATCTTAGTTATACTAACTCCATAATGAGGGTGTTCTCTTATTACCTCCATTTTATAGATAAGGAAACTGACTTCCAGAGAACTTGCCCAAGGTTATGCAGCCAGTAAGTGATGGAGCTGGGCTTAAGTCAGGCATTCTAGCCACACAATCTGTATCATATGCTATCCTGCCTCTGGGAGATACATTCTTGGCCTCATTTACCATCAAGAACATAGAAAGAAAATGTAAGATGCTGCAGTTATGATGCGGCTACTCTCTGCAGATTCCAGATTGTCATGAATAACTCAGAAGGAACCTTGAATCTACCAAGAAAAGAATAGGTGTGTTTTTTGAGCCTAGCAGATGGTCCATTAGAACCTGTCCTTTGTCCATGCTTTCTACTTGCAGGACTGGAATCACTTATGAAAGGAATTTCCTTTTGTAAAAAGGTGCAGCACTTATTCAACTGAATTGAGGAGCGGGCAGGAAAGAGAAACTAGAACTTATATGAGATGTTCTACAGCATTTATTCTGAACTGGAGCCAAGAATTGAGAAACTGCTCATACAACTGGGGCTACGCCAGTACTGTAATTAGACACAACGCAGCAGCAGCTTTTTCTTCTAGGTAAAATAGGCTTTCAAATGCACAATATTGGTTCAGTGAATGAAAAATATGGTTTTAGCCCCATCCTGCTTCTGCAACTACAGCAATAAAGCCAATGTTGAATTAATTAATGATATTTACTTTTGGGTTGCTCTGATTTTGTCTCCAAGTCTTCTTCCCTGATAGAGAAATATGAGAGAAGAATTTCAAACAAGAATCAAAATCACTTTCATAAAAATATGTGCATTTATATTAAAACAGATTAATGTGCCAATATGTTTATATTAGTATTTTAAAATCACACTATATAAAACAGATGATTGGTTAGACTTATCTACATGATTTCAACTTCTCATAGAGCATGATTTTGCCATGTATTCACCCATTCTCTTATTCACTGAACATTCGCTGGATTGCTGAGCAAGATGAAGCTAGGTGTTAGTACCCATGATTATTAGCAGATTTAGTGGTCATAATACATAAGCATTTAATCAGACTGTAGCTCACTGATTAACTGAATCAAAAAGAGTTTCAGAATAAAATCTCAATTTAACTAATAATCAGAGCATCTGACATTTATTTGGCACTTACTACATGCTGGACACTATTCTAAGCTCTACATGAGCATTTGGTTTTTTACCTCTCAAACTGACCCTTGAAGATAAGTACTACTTCTCCCTCCATTTTATAGGTTAAGCATAAGATGTCCAAGAGGCAGAAGTGGTGCACAAATCTGTATAATCTACTGTCAGAATTTGTGTTTCTAACCAGTCTCTATAAAACAACATTTCTGAAGCACATTAAAATGCTAAAACAGAACCAAATAAAACAAAAAACCCAACTTTATCAAAATTCCAAGCTTCCATCTTTCTGTTCTTCCTGTGTAATCTTTCTTTTTCTTTCTATTTAACCTTTCTGTTTCATTTACAAAAGGTGAGCCCCTGTATTACCAAGCAAGGAGTCCAGATGCTCCTCCAGAGCCCAGGGCATGGTCCAGTCAAAGACTAGGCCATTTAAGTTCCTAAGTCTCAGGGCTGCTGAAAAGAACCCCGCCCACATGGGCTGTGTGCATCACTTCTCACCATGGAAGGAACAGATTTCTTGTCCTTTCTGCCCCTATTGGGAGCCATTGCAAGGCCCGCTCAGGGAAAGACTCTGCTATTAATGAGTTCTCTAAACTGTATCCTTCTCTCCATTTACGTAAACTATATTCTATACAGGAATTTTTACCTATATAAAATATATATGTAAATGGATAAACATAAATTAGATTTAGTGGCAATTACCATATAAAATTAGTTTCTCAATAAATATTGATGTCCATCATTTTAAAGAAACTTGATATCCAGAGATCCAAAGTTACTTACAAAGGAAACTTAGGGAGCTTTACAAACTAGTTTTACTAATTAATTCTTTGCAAATACATTAAGAGATGAAAAAGGAATGCATACAAAATTTATGAGGAGTGTATCTTTTTCTGAAAAGATTCAACCCTTTTGGCCAACCCAATAGATATCTTCATTCTTTTACCCATGTATATATATATATATAGTTCTTGAGCACCTATACTGTCTGCTAAGCTCTGTGTCTGGTACTGGGGCTATAAACATGAACTGAGCTTACATTCTAGCAAAAGAAACAGAAAACAGGCAATTATGCTAAAGCTAGGAAGACATGAAGAGGGGCTTGTTATCCCATAGTATAACACCTGACCAAACTGGGGTGCAGGAGAGGAGGAGAGGCAGGAAGGAAGAACTTACCTTAAGGAAGAGAAGAGAACACTAGGTGTAAAGTCCAAAGGGCAAGACAGCTAGGGGCATTTAAGAAGGGAAAGTGGGAAACTGGGAGACTGCTATAGTTGTCAAGGCAACAGATGGGTGTTAGCTTGGATTAGGAAAGTGGCAGTGAGGGCTAGCAGGGCGGATTTGAAGAAGTGGATTTTTGACTGATTAGAGGTGGGGATGAGTGAGAAAGAGGAGCAGAAAATATAGCATCCTTTTGGGGTATGCTGAGATTGAGCTGCCAATAGGAAATTCAAGGAGGCAAATTATAAATACAGACTCTGAAGTCTAGGAGAAAGATCTAGACTAGAGCTACAGGTTTAGGAGCTCAAACCATTTCACCTCTCACACACGATGTTCTTCCATAACTTCCCTCTATATGAAATATTAATTCAGCAAAATATTTATTACATTTTTCTAGGTGCCAGACACGGTGCTAGATATAAGATTCTACTCGATGCAAATTAATAAAGATAAACAAAAACAACAACAAAAAAAAAACAGTTTGACTTATTTCATAAAAAAATAATTAACACTTCTATGTTTATTTGACCAAATCCCATATTTTTTGACCAAATCTTATATATTTGACTTAGCAATAAAAAGTCTTGAAGAATTATTTGGACCTGATTGTTATAATTTCCATTACTCACAGACAAAGTAGGTAAAATGAACAGTGTTTGTAGCATAAATGATGTTCTGATTTAATTTAGGAACCATGATGGATAACTGATATAATCCATCCATGTCATTTATTCAGTAAGCTGCCGTTCTCCTCATAAATACCTTAGGCAAATCCAAGCTACTCCCAACAAATAGGCTTACTGTGGGTGACACAGTCTCTAAAATGAAAGCAAATTTATTTTAACAAATTTAAGTTAAAAGTCAATTGTTTTTCTTGTTTTTGTCTTACAAGTGGTCATCTGATAAAAGAGAATAATCCACTTTTTATATAGTTATTTTCCAATATAAGTTTAATATTGAGAGACTAATGGATGCTTATTATGAAACAAATGAAAAAGTTAACCTTAAGCAGAATGTGAGAAGGAACTGCTGCTGGTTTTAGGTGCCAAACTGATTTTTCACATGTACACAAATTCAGAAAATGTACTGACGAAAAGTAATAAAGATGGGTACCTTTTGAAAAAAGTTTACATGCTTGAAAGAAAGAATATCCAACTCCCACTGCAGAAAGAAAGTGTAATGCCATTAAATAAGAATATCGGAAAGAAAAATGAAACAACACAAAACAAAATGTACTTTTAGTGACTAAGGCCTTGAACAGGTCTTGGGCAGTCTTTTCAGAGCTCTGTTCCTCAACCCTTCAGAGGAGTTGAGCTTTTAGAGAACCATAAAGCAAGAGGCCTTCATCAGAGGGAAGGAATAGTCTAGTTTATTGAGTATTTTTAAATATTCTAAATTTTTTTAACTTTGTCTTCAGTAGGTATTTCACTTGGAAATCAATAGGCATTATTATTCCTATTTTATAGACAAACAAAACAAGGCAAAATCAACAAAAGAGGTTAAGTGAACTGTCCCTGGTCACACACCCCATGAATGGAGCCAGAAATATAATTGAGCTCTGCTTTCTGCTTAGGAATATCAACCTATTCTATTTTTATTCTCATAGCTGTTGGTTTTGATCCCCTATTGGTTTTTGTTCTTATTCTTTTTTCCTAGTATCTTCTTAGTATTATTCATTTATGGGCAATGCTTACAGTTTTATTTGTGAGTATATTTTTATATTTAATAACCATTAACTATATGACTTTTATAATCTTAGCCTAGTTACCTGCTTTCATCACTTGGTTTTAATCTGATCTCTGCTGGAGCTGAGCTGGATTTTTATGTTCATTATGCCTGGCTCAGGCCTTCTCTGATTTTCAAAGCAGTTCCCATATATTAATGAAGTCTCTGATTTTCTCAGGTCAAAGAGATGGAATTTAGGCCCACCTTCACAAACTTAACTAACTTAGGGCCCCAAAGACCAAACTACTTTCCCCTAAGGGGCCCCAGAGGCAGCTCAAGGAAAACCTTGGAGCAATAGTCATCTTATTTCCAGAATAGCTCAATACCACAGAGAGTATAATTATTTTATCCCACAGAACTTAGAAAATAGAAATAAGTATTACATGTTTAAAATAGTCTACAAAGATTCAAACAAGTAAATGAACTCCATAACAGTTAATTACTAGCAAAATTATTTGATTTACCTGTACCTGTTTAGAAAAGGCAATCTATTTGATTATCTAAGCCATTCACTTATTAGAATTCTATAAGAATAGTTTATCCCTATAAGTGGTAAATGCATGTATGTATATATTAGTTTTATATGCTTCCTTGCACCTGCTGAAGAAAAGGGTGAATTGTTTGTGAGTTTGATGCTAGTATAAAGTTCATATTCACTGCAAAATTGGAAAATTCAGCCCAGATTTTCATCATCCTGTACTATACTATATTACTACTCTGCTTAATTATCATACGATAATTTCTATCATGACTCCTGCCTTCTGTAATACAATTTGCACATGACCAAGGATGCTTACAAAACACAATTCCTATTTCTCAGGATTGAAGAATGAGTTCAGTATTTACATTAAAAGTAACAAAGTAAACAACAGCAAGAAGAAGAGAGAGAGAAAGGGGAATGTAAGATATTCTACCTTGTGTAGATGAAAAAAGTGGTGCTCTAGATCTGACCACATTGTCAGAAGCAGGTACTACAAATGGGATCGGCCTCACACGCTTATCTGTCAGGTTTCTGAAACCGGCCTGTTGGTTCTCAAATATACTTCGGATGTTTTCAAGCTTGAGTTGGATGGTCTGCATTTGAACCTGCAGGTTGCATAAGTAATCTATGAAATATTTTCTGAAATGGGGGTCATTACAAATCCTATTACATTTCTCAGTCTCAGACAGATGCAAAATTAATTTAGACTTTATTATAGAACTAGAAGAAATTTAGGAAAATAATAGGGAACAGATTAAGGCATTATTTCACATGGTTACAAAACCAGAAGGTCTCAACCAAAACAACTTGAAGAAGAAATTTATCAAGCAGTCATGAAATAAGTCAGTCACTGAATAAGGTGATTTACCCTTTATTGGCTGAAAGGGAATAACGGCTAGAAAAGAGGGCGTGTTGAGCACAAGAAAGCTACCAAGTTAAGCGCTGTCACAGTAGTTTGTTATGTTTTAGCCTGCAGGACATTCTATAGTTCACCATGTTATACTGGGTTGGTCAAAAAGTTCATTTGGGTTTTTCTGTAAGATGGCATGGAAAAACTGGAATGAACTTTTTGTCTAACTCAGTAAAAGGCTCCTCAGAGGCACTGATGGGTAATGTACCCTTCTGGCCCTCCTAGATGATTTGAGGCAGCAAGAGTTAGGCTTCGTTGCTTCTAAAGTCACTTGTTTATTGCCAAGGCCATGTTTCTGATCTTCTGCAGCATGCCCCTAAGATCTGAGGCTAAACATGGATTTAGATACTATTCTAAACTTTAGAGTCAATGAGACATTTTAGCAGCAAATAGCATCACAGATGCTCTTATCTATAATGTGGAGAGAGAGTTTGGTGGCAGCTGCAAGGGGGTGGTGCTGAACTAACCTAAGCTCTCTACCCAGCTTCTACTGCTCCCCATTCCCCAGGTAGACCCATATCCTTCCTTTATCACTTTACCCTCAAACTGAGTAGGAAAGCCGGATCTGTGTCTACGGAGCTTCTGTGTCTACAGAGTTTTAAGCCAGCTTTTTCACTCTCCTCTTTCACTTTCATCAAGAGGCTCTTTAGTTCTTCTTTGCTTCTAAGGGTGGTGTCATCTGCATATCTGAAGTGATGGGACCAGATGTCATGATCTTAGTTTTTTTTTTTTTAATACTGAGTTTTAAGCCAGCTTTTTCACTCTCCTTCTTCACCCTCAAGAAGGTTCTTTAGTTCTTTGCTTTCTGCCATTAAAGTGGTATCATCCACCTATCTGACGTTGTTGATATTCCTCCCAGAAATCTTGGAAAGTTAAAGACTTTTAACTTGGAAATATGGTTATTTCCATATTGTTTCTAACACTTTAAAGAAAAAAAAGAGGTCTTACAAAAATTTTAAAAGTACAAGTAATAAATGTGCTTTGAATTTGCAGAATAGTTGAATTTGAGTTAGCAATAGGAGGGTTTATTAGCAAGAACCTGACAATAAAAATAAAATGAAATAAGGAACAAAAATAAAAATGGAAAATTTCATTGCATGCCATATAACAAAATAGAAGGAAGGTGGGTTAGCTTTTTCACTCTCCTCTTTCACTTTCATCAAGAGGCTCTTTAGTTCTTCTTTGCTTCTAAGGGTGGTGTCATCTGCATATCTGAAGTTATTGATATTTTTGCCTGCAATCTTGATTCCAGCTTGTGCTTCATCCAGTCCAGTATTTCGCATGATGTGCTCTGCATATAAGTTAAATAAGCACGATGACAATATACAGCCTTGACGTACTCCTTCCCCAATTTGGAACCAGGCCATTGCTCCATGTCTGGTTCTAACTGTTGCCTTTTGACCTGCATACAGATTTCTCAGGAGCCTGGTATTCCCATCTCTTTAAGAATTTTCCATTTTGTTGTGATCCACAGAGTCAAAGGCTTTTTCATAGTCAATGAAGCAGAAGTAGATGTTTTTCTGGAATTCTCTTGCTTTTTCTATGATCCAACGATGTTGGCAATTTGATCTCGAGTTCCTCTGCCTTTTCTAAATCCAGCTTGAAAATCTGGAAATTCTCAGTTGATGTACTGTTGAAACCCAACTTGGGGAATTTTGAGCATTACTTTGCTAGTGTGTGAGATGAGTGAGATCGTGCAGTAGTTTGAACATTCTTTGGCATTGGATTTCTTTGGGAATGAAAACTGACCTTTCCCAGTCCCATGGCCACTGCTGAGTTTTCCAAATTTGCGGGCATATTGAGTGCAGCACTTTTGCAGCATTAGGATTTGAAATAGTTCAACTGGAATTCCATCACCTCCACTAGCTTTGTTCGTAGTGATGCTTCCTAAGGCCCACTTGACTTCACATTCCAGAATGTCTGGCTCTAGATGAGTGACCATACCATCATGGTTATGTGGGTCATGAAGATCTTTTTTGTATAGTTCTTCTGCGTATTCTTGCTACCTCTTCTTAATATCTTCTGCTTCTGTTAGGTTCCTACCATTTCTGTCCTTTATTGTGCCCATCTTTGCATGAAATGTTCCCTTGGTACCTCTAAATTTCTTGAAGAGATTTCTAGTCTTTCCCATTCTCTCGTTTTCCTCTCTTTGCATTGATCACTTAGGAAGGCTTTCTTATCTCTCCTTCTAATCTCTGGAACTCTGCATTCAGATGGATATATCTTTCCTTTTCTCCCTTGCCTTTCACTTCTCTTCTTTCTCAGCTATTTGTAAGGCCTCCTCAGACAACCATTTTGCCTTTTTGCATTTCTTCTTCTTGGGGATGGTTTTGAATCCCACCTCCTATACAATATCATGATCCTCTGTCCATAGCTCTTCAGGCACTCTATTTATCAGATCTAATCCCTTGAATCTATTTGTCACTTCCACTGTATAATAGTAAGAGATTTTATTTAGATCATGCCTGAATGGTCTAGTGGTTTTCCCTACTTTCTTCAATTTAAGTCTGAATTTTGCAACAATGAGTTCATGATCTGAGCCACAGTCAGCTCCTGGTCTTGTTTTTGCTGACTGTATAGAGCTTCTCCATCTTTGGCTGCAAAAAATGTAATCAATCTGATTTTGGTGTTGACCATATGGTAATGTCCTTGTGTACAGTCTTCTCTTGTGTTATTGGAAGAAGTTGTTTGCTATGACCAGTGTGTTCTCTTGGCAAACTCTGTTAGCCTTTGCCCTGCTTCATTTTGTACTCCAAGGCCAATCTTGCCTGTTACTCCAGATATCTCTTGACTTCCTACTTTTGCATTCCAATCCCCAATGATGATAAGGACATCTTTCATTTGGTGTTAGTTCTAGAAGGTCTTGTAGGTCTTCATAGATTTGATCAATTTCAGCTTCTACAGCATCAGTAGTTGGGGCATAGACTTGAATTACTGTGATGTTGATTGGTTTGCCTTGGAAATGAGCCAAGATCATTCTGTCATTTTTGAGACTGCACCCAAGTACTGCATTTTGGGCTCTTTTGTTGACCATGAATGCTACTCTATTTATTCCAAGGGATCCTTGCCTACAGTAGTAGATATAATGGTCATCTGAATTAAATTCGCCCATTCCAGTCCATTTTAGTTAACTGATTACTAAAATGTCAATGTTCACTCTTGCTATCTCCTGTTTGAGCATTTCCGATTTACCTTGATTCATGGACCTAACATTCCAGGTAGGAAATTACTCTTCATTATAAGGCAAATATAAATATTAGGATTCTTTGACACCTAACAGTGGCTCTGATATAACCGCAATTGTTAAGAGAACTCTGTAATTGCAATGTGATGTAAAGTTACCTGTGAAGCAGTAAAACTCTTATCAACACTAACACAATCATAGCTTTTAAAAATTTGTTTCCCTGCCCCCCCCAAAAAATTCTTACCTTGAGTTCAGGAGATAAATTTACACCAAATTCATACTGTAGGGTTTCAGGATCATAATTTATAAAGGGTAGTGCCATTTCAAGAAAATTCTCAATGTCTTGGAGGGCCTTCTGAGCATCTTCTTTAGACTGAAACTTGTCTATTTCTTGATTAGCTAGAAGGCACTCTCCTTCATCACAGCACTGGAGAGCCTGATAAACAAATCCCCCCCACACACAAACCATGAGTGAATAAACGAGAAATCTGTTTGTCCCTTAGGAGAATGTTTATCAGTCCTGGCTGCTATGAATCAGAGTTGTTTTCAAAGCTGTTAAAAAGAAAAAAAAGATCTCTACTCCCAGAAATTCTGAATCAGTAGCTCTGGGCTGTAAGCCAGGCCCCACAGGTATTTCTTTCTTTTTTTTTTGGAACTATAGCTGATTTACAATGTTGTACTAATTTCTGCTGCATAGCAAAGTGATTCAAGTGATTCAGTTATATATATACATATATATTCTTTTTCATGTCCTTTTCCATTATGGTTTATCACAGGATATTGAATATAGTTCCCTATGCTATAGAGTAGAACTTTGTTGTTTATCCATCCTATATGTAATAGTTTGCATTTGCTCACCCTAATCTCCTACTCCATCCCTCCATGACCCACCTCCCCCTTGGCAACCAGAAGTCTCTTCTCTATATCTCCACAGGTATTTCAGAGGCACAACCAAGGTTGGGAAGCCCTGCACTCATTTCATAACAAGGAATTCATTCTGAAGCAGGAGTCTAACCATTCTCTCAACACCAGCTGCACGTTCTTTCCCAAAAATCAATAACTGAAATATGAAATTCTTTGCAAAATATCAAGTGTAATAAAAATGCATGATGATTGCCTAGCACAAAGAAAAAGTTTCCTTGCCCGAGAAGATGTACAGATAAGAATGCTCATGTTCAGATCCAATGCCTATATGTGATACCCCTATTTTATATTCCACTGCCATGATCAAAACTTCTCTTCACCGCCTAATCATCAAAGGGGTCAGACTCTATTCCATGGAGGAACAGTTTCTAATCACTGTTTGTTGTTAGAACAGTTTCTAATCACTGTTGTTCATAGTTACATTGCTGTAACTGTGAAATGTGGAATGAGAGTCAGGCTTGAGCAAAAATGCCCGCATGGTTTTTCAAAGTATTCTAATTGCAAACTGTCACCAGAGCAGAGGCTTCAGAGATAAACCTAAAATAGAGAGGAAGCCATCACCACCACCATGCCCATATTCAGAACAGGGGCCAAAATCCTTACAATCCTGGACCAGCCGTGAATACTGCAAAGTGGATGAATGAAATAGGCATAATCAAACTCAGTTCTTCAGACTTCTTACAAATCTAATAACAAAGCTATGCCAGACCCTTGCCCTATAGCATCTGAGAAGGACTCAGGTAGAAAAAAATATAATTTCTCTTTCAGAAATGCACCATGTCCCGTGACATTACCTGCTGTAGGAGTTTATGCATTTTAAAGATCCTGTTGAGCTGTATCCGTTTGGTTCTGATCTCATTTACCAAAATATCAGAAAGGTAACGTAGTTCATTGCACCTCTGACAGATCAAATCCAGGGCATAATGGTGACTTGCTGCGAGTCTGTGTCCATGTATTATTACGAACCGGGCCTTTGCTAACAGGTCCTGATTTTAAGAAAGAAGGAAAATAATAACTGCAAGATGTCCATCTGAATAGAGGGGGAAAAAATGTAATTAAAAAGGAAATTTGTTGAGCCAGAGAGAAATATTTTCAACTATACGGTTTGATGTCATACTTCTGCCAGCTGCAAAAAAGCTTCCAGTTAGCTATACGTGCATGTGCATGCTAAGTTGCTTCAGTTGTGTCCTACTCTTTGCAAGCCCATGGACTGTAGCCCACCATGCTCCTCTATCCATGGGATTCTCCAGGCAAGAATACTGGAGTGAGTTTCCATGCCCTCCTCCAAGGGGATCTTCCTGACCCAGGGACTGAACCTGTGTGTCTCTTATATCTCCTGCATTGTAGGCAGGTTATTTACCACTAGCGCCACCTGAGAAGCCTAATGTCATTAGCTATGGCAGTGGTGTTATCAGAAGCTCATGCACTTCTGATCACAGAAACAGAAAATTAACCAGCCCACCCAGAAGGTGGATGAGATTTGCTCCTCCTGGGAGGTACAGATTTAGAACAGAACCAAATATAATCAATGAGATGCAAACCAGCCAAGTGAAAGCTAAGGGATTTCATATCACCTAAGCCATGGAAATCCTGTTAGATCTAGTTGGCATCTATTTGAGGACTTGACTGATTTGAAGAGACCACCACAGGGTTTCCCTGTCAAAAAGGAACTCAAAGCTTAGTCTCCATTCTAACTACTGACTGCCTCACCCAAGTGTTGTGACTGAAACATAAAATTTACCATCTTATCCATTTTGAAGTGTACAGTTAAGCAGTGTTGAGTGTATTCACATTGTTTTGCAAGATGAAAAAGATCTGGAGATGTGTTACACAGCAATGCAGATACACTCAATACTGTTGAACCATACACTTCAAAATGGTTAAGATGGTGAATTATATTTTAAGTGTCTTACCACAATTAAAACTAAAAATTATTCAAAACAAAACACAACAAAATGAAAACAATACAAAAACAGACAAAAAATTTGAAGCTCTGAAGCCAGTTTGCCTTCTCTTTTTCTCCAAATCAAAGAGATCTGGAAGTTGCCCCATGATTACAAAGATCTACAAGTACAATTCTAGAACTGGGCACCACAACCACTGCCTCTCAATTTTGTTTTTAGATGCTTATGGTACTGAGAAATCGATTCATTTGTTGAGAATACACCTTGAAAGGGCTTCCCCGGTGGCTCAGCTGGTAAAGAATCTGCCTGTCATTCAGGAGACCTGGGTTTGATCCCTGGGTTGGGAAGGTCCCCTGGAAAACAGAACGGCTGCCCACTCCAGTATTCTGGCCTGGAGAATTCCATGGGCTGTATAGTCCATGGGGTCGCAGAGTCTCAGACACGACTGAGCTACTTTCACCTTTTCACCTTAAAAACAATAGCCTCACTCTCACATACAAGACAGGAGAGCAAAGCTAGACTGTGTTGAATGTTAAAGTCTTGAGTCCAAGCTTTAAGACCAGCAGAATGAATGACAGCTGGCTCTCGTGAGTACTTATGCTTTATGCCCATATATCCTAGGTACTGTGCTAAGTGTTTTATCCACAGCATCCAGATAATTCCTAATAATCACTCTGCAAAGTAGGTCATCACATCCCCAATTTATAGATAAGGACACAGAGGCTTAGAAAACTTAATCAGTTTACCCAGGGCCACACAGCTGGTAAGGCTAAATAGACTTATCTATATTAATCTGTGTTTGATTCGGCTGTATGTATCAAATGATGGTTATTTAAGGAATTATATTTTTAAGGTTTCCATCATTTCCAAATACCAAATAGCATTCTTGATAGACATTTTTCTAGCTTTTTCAAAATGATGTATGCTCTTGTTCCTATGGATGGGCCTGAGACAGTTATAACTAGATGAGATGTCTGCAAGGTCCCACACTGAACAGAATAGACAAATATTGCTGAGCCAATTATACAGACTGTTGTTACAAGAGACTAGTCATAATAAGGGTTTATACTACCAAAAGACATCAAAATATAACTATTATACTCCTTAGATACATTGCATATCTAAAATATAATCTTACCTGAGAATTTTCATCCAAGTTTTCCAACTTTTTAATTTTTTGTTTCACTTGAGCTATAGTCCCTGTTACATCTGCCAACTCCGCTTGTTGGTTTAGTATAAGTTCAGCTTCACTCACGAGCTAAAAATAGGGGAGGAGAAAAAGTCTTAAAAGCATGCAAATTAAGACTTTTCACCTAATAATCAAGCTTTGTAGTAAATGCTATTAATTAAGAACCTCGACATGGAAAAATCACACATATGGAAAATGTTTTCAGCTCTCTTATTCACAGAAATCAATATAATCTGTTAAAATTTAACCTGCTAGACATCAGTGTGCACTGATGATTTATAAAAGATCACTATGTACATGTGAAGGCATTTGTATGTGGACATGTATAGAGGTATATATACGTGCATCTACATGCCCATATATTCCCTAGCTGTATGGTGAGTGGCTCTAGATACAAAGACCCTTCAGTAGCAATGAGTACACCTAATACCCAGACCTTGGTTTTGAATATCATTTTCCAGAAAAAGAAATTGGAGCTTCATAGGAAATTGGCTGATTCCAGGGCTGAGGCAGAATAGGCATAAGATAAGCTTGGAACATCTCTTTATGCCCAAAAGTAAAGAACTAATAAAAATGTTTGGGCATGTCACAAGGACACAACAGCCAGGTGGAAACAACAGAACGGTCAAGAACATTAATGAATTAAAAGCTAGGAAGCCCTAAGCCCAATAAGTAGATAAATACTGTACTAAAGGGCATTCTTGACAGACATTTTTCTAGCATCTTCAAAATGACTTGTGCTCTTGTTCCTATCGGTGGGCCTGAAACAGCTACAATCCCATGACATATCTACATGAAAAATCAGCATTTCACAACTATCATAGTAAAGATTGGTTGGAGCAAGAATCATCAACTGATGATAAACTGATGAAGAATTTTTGATGAGGAACAAGATAATTGCATGGCCTTAAATTTCCTCCCCATATATTGGGTTGGCCCAAAAGTTCATTCGGGTTTTTCCGTAACATCTTCCAGGAAAACCTGAATGAACCTTTGGCCAACCCAATATTTCCTACCAGTTGCAAGGGCGGGGGGGAAGTAACTGTAGTATGAAGAAATTTAACAGCACCCTGACAGGGTGACCAAAACTCTCCAAAGGCCACATTACTTATGTGGTATTCTTGCTGGTCATATGTAGGTTAATCCAATCATGAGACAATGTCAGACAAACTCAAAATGGTGAACATTTTATTTTAAAAACGACTGTATTTTCAGAGGGATCGGGTGGAGAGGGAGGTGGGAGGGGGGACTGGGATGGGGAATACATGTAAATCCATGGCTAATTCATTTCAATGTATGACAAAAACTACTGTAATGATGTAAAGTAATTAGCCTCCAACTAATAAAAATAAATGGAAAAAAAAAAAAAAGACAAAGAAAGGCGACGAAAACGTTAGAGATTAAAGGAGACTAAAGACACATGACAATTTAATGCAATACCTGACCCTCTAGACTAGATTGTGCTGAGGCAGGAAAATGATATAAAGGACATGATTGAGTCAATTGAGAAAATTGGAATACTGATTGCAGATAATAGAAAAGTATCACATTATTCATAAACGTACAAAATATGACCACTATACTGTGATTGTGCAAGAAAATATTGTACAAGAAAATATTCCTATTCTGAGTGTTCAAGAGGATCTCAAGGTTGAGAATATTCAAGTTTTTTCTTGCAAGTTTAAATTTCCACATAAGCTTTTATTTAGTTAAATGCCTAAATATTCAGAACCTATCTGCTATGAACCTATCAGAGCCTATGTCACCATGAGAGACAGATCGCATCAGTGAGATTCGGACCCACGATCAGAGGCAACAATGACTTCACAGAACAGACTATAACCACAGGATGAAAATGTAACCTGGAGGCAAATTAACATATAAGTAGAGGCACAATGGGTTTGTTCAGGAAAAGTAATGTTGCTGCATGTGTTTGGTTGGAGAGGAGGGACAGACATAAATATCTGGAAGGCCCAAGAGCAATTTGACCTATTCTTTCTTTAAGAAAAGTTTTATCGAGAGCCTGACACTTCAAAATCTGAATCACCAGAGGGAAAAGGCTGGTAATAACTGAGCCCTGGGTCCCCTCCCCACAACTGATTTGGCTAGAATAAATGGAATACTAGGCAAGTCCGCCACTCATGGGCAGAAACAGGCTGACCACATGTAAGAGAGAGAAGTGACTTTTCCTTGGATCCCTGGAAAAATACTATGACAGAGACTGGTAGAAGCATGGAGGCTGACTATAAGGGGAAAGGAAAATGAAGCTATGTCTCTTGACCATATAGGATGGATTTTCCAGAAGGACAGAACTAGAATATACTTATAACCTTTTAAATAATGTACAATTGAACACAATTTAATCTCATCCATCACGCTTTTTATAGAAAGAAGTCACTGAATCAGAAAAAAATGTTTTGTTAGATCATATTAAACATGGTCAGCATAGGTAGATGGTAGTTTAAAAATCATGAAGGAAGTTAGTATTAATCCCTTGGTAGATTTCCCATAGTCTGAAAGTAGTTTATATCTAAAATGCATTTGAATATCAAACATCAATGGAGATAGCAACTTTACCCCTGTCATCTATGTTAGCCCCTTTCCCATAAGAGATGAGCCTGAGCTAGAGAAGTATAAGTGTTGGCATTTTTGTAGCTGTTTCTTCATTCTAAGTCAAAGTGCACTCACACTTACCTCCTTTTCACCTGTCTGAGGGTATACATGGGCATCCTGCATCTTGTGAGACTGTGTTTCTGATGATCAAGGAGTAAGAATCTCCAGCATAATGAAAGAAACTGTACCCAAGAAAAGTTTTAACTGACCTCTTGAAAATCCTGCTCAAACTTCCAGAGTTGCAGATACTGCTCCATTTTTAGCTGGTGTTTTTCCCAAAATCCATCAAAAGCTATTTCCATATCATGTACTTGAGTCAGCAATCTTAACAAAGCAAAATCATCATTAAACCAATGATTTGTGTTGCAGGTAGGTAGATAACCCTAGTTTGGATGTTAAGAATTATAGGCAAAGCCACAGCCCATGACATTTGGTCCAGGTAGAGACTATCAATGTCCACAGAATCTCCCCTATGAGCAAACTAATCTCTATGGAACAACACGGGGAGGAGTTCTCAGCTTGATTGCCAGAGGTCCAGGAATATTTTGCAGGTTAACAGGTAGCCGCAAAAGTATATAATTCCCTTTCAAAAGTATAAGTAACTCTAAACCCCAAAGAATACTACTCACTTATTAATAGTTTGCCAGTCACCACTAGTCTGCTGAAGATTTTCAAGTCTTGAACTCACAGCACCCTCGGCATCAGGCACTTCCAGATTTGTTAGCAGAATTTTTCCTTCTTTGGTTACAGCTGTGATATCCTTCTGTACAAAGGCAAAACAGGAAGTGTCAGCCTGCTGGGCACCTATTCTGAATGAGCTGGGTAGAAGGCAGCATACAGCAGCAGATGCAGAATAGAATAGTTCTACCGCAGCCTTTGCTTTCATCACTGAAAAATCAAGAACTACCTCAGTACCATGGAATCCAAAAGCTGCAAGAATCTCCAAGAAGCCTCTGCCTATTGAGACAGATTTACAGTCACCAATTCTATAGGCAGAAGTACCCCAAGGATCAGTTTGTAGCTTCCTCTCACTGGAAGAAAGTTCTAATTTAATATGGAAGAAACCTAAGCATCCATCAACAGATGACTGTATAAAGAAGATATGGTATACATACATATACATAATGGAATAGTACTCGGCCATTAAGAAAGAATAGAATCTTGACATTTGCAACAACATGGATGGACTGGGAGGGTATTATGCTAAGTGAAATAAGTCAGACAGAGAAAGACAAATACCATATGATATCACTTATATGTGGTATCTAAAAAGTAAAACCAACTAGTGAAAAAAGAAACAGAGAACTAGCGGTTATAGACAGGGAGAAGGAAGGGGGAGGGGCACCATTTCAAAAAAAGGGCCACTTAAATTCAATATATCCAGGACATCCTCCTCTTGTACTCCTCTTTTTTTAATATTGTGCTTTACACCATATAAATATCTCTTTCTGTCTCCCTACCCAGCAATCTGTGTGAAATAGACACACTCAACACCTCTCTATCAAAAGAAAGACCATGGAAAATTTTGGTTTGTCTCCCCTATCAGACATACCTTTAACAGGTGGTACCTTTCAGCACGAATTGCAAGAATTTCTTCTATTGCAGGAATGTCACCTGGTAGTTCTGCCTCGGCCAGTTCAGTTCCAAAGGACTGTAACATCTGAGCTGTATCTTTCACTGTGAGGGCAAAATTTTCTATAGCCTGCAAAGAGCCCATGCGTGATTCTCTTAATTCTGTGGTAACTTGGCCAGCATATCAAAACCTAGACCAGCAACTATATTAACTTTCATTTAGATACGACAGCAAAGACATATACTATGACATCTCCTCTGCAAGGAAAGTTGGCATTGGCCTTGACAATGAACCTTAACTTTGCATCTAAACCCCTAAGAAACTTAGTGAGATGAAGAGACTTCTTGAATATCTAAACATCTGTACTTATTTCTCAAACAATGATGAAAACTATTTCTTAAATATGCCATGTACTGAGTAATTTGTTTTATTATCTGGCAAAACATTGTGTTTTCCTTATTCTATTTAATTTTGGAATTGCACAATTGTTTTATAATAACTACTTCTGAAGAGACATGAGAACATCAAAGCCACTTTATTATCATTTATGAACAAGTGTTAGCATTTGATGGACTAAGATGACAGAGGAACATTAGTCACAATAATTCATTTCAAGTTCTGGAGAAGATTTGAAATTATGACCCCAAAGGCTCTGCTGCCCTAAAATGTCAAGTAAGGTTTGGTTGTTCATTTTGTTTCCAAAATCAGTGACTTAGAGAAAGAAAGACAACATTTAGAGACCATATAAACCCTCTGTTTACCATGTAACTCAAGGCGTCTGCTCTTTTATTTTTAGCTTTCTAGGTTATTAAAGGCAAGATACTGCTTATTTTGACAACTCACTTTCATACGCATGAACAGGACTGCTGAATGAAAATAAAGATGAGGAAAGTAAAATCCTGATTTAAGTAAATATCATTATTTCCTTCAGAAGGGTTCCCATTACCTCTGGAATTAGAAGACCCTTATATGACAAATTCACTCTAGTGAGGCACAGAGCCCTTGCCTATCCATACATTACTAGAACAGAAGGCATTTTTGCTACAAATTTAACTGCCCCCAGGAGAATCACTAGACTGATGAGATTAATAAGATGACTCTCATTTTCTGAGGGCAAACCATAGGCCAGGCAGTGTCAAACATGGTACATCTGTAATCTCATTTAATCTTCTCAATAACCCAATGAGATAAAGTCTTATTCTTCCCACTGTATAGTTGGAAAAACTGAGGCTGAGAGAGCTTTTACAACTTGCACAAAGTTATATCGATAAAAATCAGCAGTGCTAAGATTTGAACCCAAACCCTTGGTTTCTTCAAGTTACTACATGGCCACAGGAAAGGGTGGACAGAGTAGGGTCTCCTTATTCCCTAGGCCTCTCATTTAAATGCCATCCTCAGTGACTCTTCATCATTTCTAGATATTTCCTAAGCATGAAAATCAAGATGTTGAATTATATGTTTTTGAAAAATAGGAACCCCAGAAATCTGTTTTTCCCAAGAAAGAAAAAAAACTTCTAGAAGTAGATTTCAAAGCTAACACGAACTACAGGCTCTACAGTAAGGGCAAAAGAAACATACATTTCTGAAGGTGATCCATTCACTGTGGCAGTACTGCAAGGTGCCGCCTAACTCAGTGGTTAACTGCTTGTCATCGATGTACGTCAGCAAATCACTAACTGAGCTCAGCATAACAACCTATACAAATAAGCGAGAAAGATACTGTTAACTGCCCTTCATGGCACTCCCCCACACAGCCAACTGTACAATGAACTTTAGCATTCGTTTAGCAGAAATTTATCTTTTATAAATGGTTCTAACAATTCTCTCCTGTACATCCCCCCACACATGGATTCACTACCTTCCCTCAGGGAATAATAGTTTTCATTTACAAAATATTTCTCTGTAAAATGAAAGTAATCTCCATAGAAACCCAAACACCTGATTGTCTCTGACCTAAAAATTTTGCACTGTCCGTGGTCAACCTTCTGAAAGAATGTTAAGCCCATGACAAAGGAAGGGCTTTCTGTAGTAAATTATAATTTATCATGAGGGACTAATCTTTGCAAAAGTAGCAAAATTTATGAACACCCTTATTCCCAACACTAAAAGTGTATAAAAATATCTTCCAGAAAAAAAATGCTACTCTGAACTGCTCAGGATGTAAGTTCATGGGAGGTCAAAAACATAAAACACATTCATTTTATTCTCTAAAAATAAAATGTCCTGATTTTATGCACACACACAAATACACACACACACACACACACACACACATAAAACATATGGGACTTACATCTTTTTTGAAAATGAACTGCTTTGTTACAAACTGACTAATCTTTTCCTTTATTTTAACAGTAGGGGCAGAAGACTTTAAGGCATTTTGAATTTACATTTTTGGAAGACAAATTCTAATTTTTTTTTCTTTTACATGCGCTTGTGACCACATGTAAAATAACAACATGATACAAATTCTTCATGAGAAAGGGTCAAAACACTTAAATAATATATTCTTACCGGTAATTTGAGCATGAAATCTTCCTGACTAAATCGAAATCCAATGTCTGTGAAAGTCCGTTGGAGAAAACTGGTGGGACGAAGGACCAAAACCAAGTGCAAGTTCCCAGGGAATGAAGACTATAGGGAAAAAACAGCACAGGAAAAAAGAAAAAAACTGTCAAAACACGCACTCGAGTGAGCACATGGCAAAAAATGTATAATCAAAGAAAACAAATTCTAAAGTCATAAAAACCACTGAAAAGATAAAACTTAAAAAATGGATGTTGATAACATCTTAAAACACGAAAATAGAAATGAAATGAATGTAAGGTCATCAGGTCAGATCCTTGCAGTGCTTGTGGCCTGGAATTTTCTCACACTGAAGTCAATCCCACATTATGAAGAATTATACTCTTAAACTTCATTTTAAATGTGGTTGTTTTTGTACTTAAATTGTTATTAATCCTTGCAAAACAGAATCAGGAGACAGGTTTCTAGGATAGCCCTAAAAGCCTAAAGGGAGCTGAAATACTGAAACCTACAGTAAACAGTGGAAGAAAACCATTTTGTGGACTTGTATTTTTATTTCACCCAAGAGACATTCACCAAATATCTTCTATGTGTTTCCGCCACATATTTAAGTGAATGATTATCAGGCACTGTTAGCATTCAGTGTACACCAATTAATAATGTACAGTCCCAACCCAGCTTGCAAGAGAATGACAGTCTAGAGTCCATTAGTATCATTTACTCTATAGCATGATAAGTTGATAAATGAAACAAGGGAATTAGAATAACATACAACAGGAAGGGGTAATATAAGGCACCACATTCAAATGCTTACTGTATGCCAAGTATTTTGCTAACATTATTACAGTTCTAGACCTAAGAATGTCAAAAAGGTCTTGCCTAAAGAGGAATAAAGTGGATCAGACTGTTTTTCTGGTGCATTCATGTTTCCCAACTTCTTAGAATACTGGCACATAGAAGGTGGTCAAGAAGTAACTGCTAAACAAAAGAGTGCAAAAGACAAGGAGGAGCCTAAGCAAAATTCACAAGGGCTGGAATAATATGGCCTGATATAAGTAATAAGGCACCACATTCAAATGCTTACTGTATGCCAAGTATTTTGCTAACATTATTACAGTTCCTCTTCATTACAATCCTGCGAAGTAGTTAGGAAATCCGCTTTTACAAATAAAGTGAGGCTCAGAGAGTTTAGTATAACTTGGCTCAACTGGTGAAGTCTGAATTGGTACCCAAGTCTGTATTACATCAAGAGGTCCCAGTCAGGAAAGCTAGAGGAAGATGCTGCTGTGGGGTGGAGAGATGTAGTCACCGGAAATGGTGCTAGAAAGATGAGCAGGATCTAGACCAGGAAAGACCTTGGGTCTTTTCCTGGATGCAAGGGGGAGACTCTTAAGGGTTTTTAAGTAGCAGAGCAGCATAATTAGATTTGCATTTTAGGAGGATCACTTTGGCTTTGGGAATGGACTCGATATGGACAAGAATGGAAACAAACAGATGAGTTTGCATGCTGGAACAGTCATCCAAGTGAGGGATGATGAGTTTCTGAACTGGAGCAACAACGGCAGGGAAAAGGGTAGAATTTAGGAGGTATAATGTGCAAAGTATGATAACTGGATATGTCTGATGAGAAAAGAAAGACTATGACAGTCAATTTCCAGATTTCTGGCTTGAGTAACTAACTGGGTAAATGGTACAACCCTCATTGACATGGGAACACAAGAGAAGCAAGCTTTCAGGAGGGGGATAAGATACTGATTCTTATCCCTGGACCTATTGGGTTGTAAGGGTCAGCAGGACAACCAGATGATGTCTATCAGACAAATGGATGTACAAGGAGGAGGGAAAGAAGCCTAGACTGGGAATATAGAGTTGGGAGTCATCAGCCTCAAAAGAGCAGATTGAAGCATAATAAAGCAAAATATGTTCAAAATGCTTTAAATATAGTCATCTTTCAGGAATGCTGAAATACTAATAATGGAACAAAACTACAAAAGAAAAATTAATAAGATACTGTGGGGTCAGATATATATGGGAAGTCTATACTTTCTACTGTGAACCTAAATCTGCTCTAAACAACACAGTCTATTTTTTAAAAAAGAGTAACTTTCATAGAGGGATAAGACCTAGACTCTGAAATGACATTCAAAAGTGGAAATTTTTTAAATTCAATTTGAGATGGTGATAAAAACATAAACAAATGGCAATGACAACTAAAGCGAGGGAAAGAGAACTGAGTGTGACACAAATAGGGAAAAGAAAGGAGCACAAGCTTAAATCAGTAAATTAAACAATGATTACAAACAGACACAAATTGGGATGGCTATCCAACTGATCACTCCCCTAGGGGGCCATGTCTGCACTACCCTCTCTTCCCATGAGATTCTACATCCCCTCCCCACCAAATTCCTATGTTGAAACTTAAGCCACAATATGAAGGTATTTGGTGGTGGGGTGTTCAGGAGATGATGAGGTCATGAGGGTGGAGCCCTCACGAATGGGATTAGTGCCCTTAAGAAAGAGACCCCAGAGAGCTCCTTCACCCCTTCAGCCATGTGAGGACACAGAAAAGACGGCCACCTATGAAGCAGGAAGTGAGCTCTCACCAGATACAGAATCTGCCAGCACCCTGACCTTGGACTTCAGACTCTAGAACTGTGAGAAGTAAATTCTGTTGTTTATAAGTCACACAGTCTATGCTATTCTGTTATAGTAGCCCATAAAGACTAAGACAGTCTCTTATTAATCTTAATATTGTTCCTAATGAGAACTATTATCTTTCTACATGACCTTGCCCTCCTAACACACAATGATTTGTCATGGGATGAAAATCTGATGTAAGCAGAATCCAAGTCTCACACTAGCATTTTTTGAACTAGCACTAAGGGAAGGAAACTTTGAGGGTGCAGTTCCAGGGCCGCTGGTAGCCATGACCCCTACAGCCAGAGGAAGCTTATTTCAAAGAACAAAGCAAACAAGTATAGGGAACTGGCAGTAGAGACAGAGTCCCAATGATACTGTATATCCTACTGTCTATTATGTTGTTTTTCAGTTGCTAAGTCGTGTCTAACTCTTTGTGACCTCATGGACTGCAGCACACCAGGCTTCCCTGTTCTTCACTGTCTATTATGTACAAATGTCTATTTTAGTTTATGCTAAGAATGGTACAATACTTCCCATAGTTGTTATAAAAATTAAAAGAAATAATAAATATAAAGCTACTTTGTCAACCCTAAAAAAAACTAATAAGATAGGTTTTTTTAATTTACTTTGGGTTCTTGGACTTAAGGACAAGTAGACTTAGACAAAAGGTTTTTCAGGCTATGGATAAAGGCTTGCTTAAGGGGAAACTCGGACAGGGACTTGTGAGAACTGGACCTATTTCTAGACTGAGAGCACTAATTCTATTTCTACCCTGAAATATTCAGTTTAGGAGTTAAGCCTTTCCTTCTTCACATGGGCAAATTACCAGTATTAGTATTATACTTAACTGCCTTGACTCAGCTTATTTTTTCACTTTTAAATGGAATCAAGGTGCTACCTTGATTACCACGTGGCTCAGTGGTGAAGAATCCGTCTGCCAATGCAGGAGACACAGATTCAATCCCTGGTCCAGGAAGATCGCACATGTCATGTGCCACAACTGTTGAGCTTGTGCTCTAGAACCCGGGAGGCACAACTATTGAACCCACGTGTCACAACTACTGAAGCCCACGCCTGTGCTCCACTGTGAAGCACCTAGAGCCTGTGCTCCGCAACAAGAGATGCCACTGCAATGAGAAACCCACACACCTCAGTGAAGAGTAGGCCTCACTCACTGCAACTAGAGAGTAGCCCGAGCAGCAGTAAAGACCCAGTGCAACAACAAATAAATAAATAAATGGAATGGAAAGCACCCTACTTTTGCCAACACTTAAAGCACTTAAAGCACTCTTATTTTTATTCTTTCATGGACTCTAGGTTGATATGGTTTCATTGTCTTTTTCTCTCTGACTTTCCTTAATGTCATATTCTCTGGTATTGCATTAGAAATCTCTCGATGTGAGACCCCGGGGTGACCAACTTAAAGCCTAGAATACTCACCCCCCTCCAAAACTGAGGGTGGGGGTAGGGGAGGCTACTACAGGAACAGAGAAGACCATGTGGTAACTCTTTGCTCAAGGTCAGGCCCTGGTCTCTATCCTGCCACTCCTAGGAGAACAAGCCTGTCCCAGCAGTCAGGCCCCTGATCACACAATAGGGGACAAAGCAGAAAAGAAAGAGACGCAGAATCACTGTCCACAGAATCCATGGGGAAGAGAGTTCAGGCAGGGTTTGTGGGTGTTCAGCTGCTCCTAAGTCAGGGATTTCATGTTGGTTGCTTTATTAAATCACTTATTCTGCCTATTTGATAAAATAGTTATAAACATTGAAAGCTGAATAAAATGCTTCTAAAAATATTTCTACATTCTAATCAGATCATTCTTAAGTAAAACTTCCTGATTATTTTATCATACCTTCTCCTCCCTTAATTCCTTCAAAATGTTCAGTGATTTGCTTATCACAAAAAGCCTACTAAATTTGCATTTCTAAAGAAAAAGCACTATCAAGGATGAACACTTCATTTATTGCCTGTATAATCACATTTGCAATGTTGTTCATTATATGATAATTTTAGAATCTTTACTAAGCTGCCATGTAAATCTTCCTAGACTACATGGATCCATTAAACTGATAGCTACTCTCAAATCTAAGCCATTTGAAGGAATAAATAACTTGTAGGCAACAGCTATTATTTAGTAGGCAAAACTACTAAACAACTGGGTGGCACTCAAACAGTTCATTTGATTTGTTAGAGTTACATTTTTTAGAAAACTATAATTATACAGTTCAGACCAAGTATATTGTTTCTATCCTTCATGTCCACTAGATCCCATGTATGAATCAGATACACTTGACTTTTTGATCCCAGTCCCACTCACTTATCCCAGATTTACATATGTGACTGCCAAACTAATTGCAGTAAATCCACAACTTCATACGAACGACTTTTCATAGCTTCTCTCCAGCAAACACACACACACACACACACACACATATATATATACACATGTCCATAAATTTATATGTCT